AGCTCACTCCTGTAATCCCAGCACTTTGGGAGGTAGAAGCATGGAAGCAGGCAAATTACGAGCTCAGGAGTTCGAGACCAGCCTGGCCAATATGGTGAAACCACATCACCCCTAAAAATACAAAAATTAGCCAGGTATGGTGGCATGCACCTATAGTCCCAGCTACTCCGGAGGCTGAGGCAGGTGAATCACTTAAACCTGGGAGATGGAGGTTTCCATAAGCTGAGATCACACCACTGCCACTGCACTCCAGCCTGGGTGACGTAGCAAGACTCTGTCTCAATAAAAACAATAATGGTCACTAAACATACTGGCTGCCACTGTGGGAACTCATTCATGTTGGACTCCTCATACGTGTGTTGGGGGATTTATCCTCACGATCTCTCTGAATTCTCATCATGCCTCTTACAGATGAAGAGACAGAAGCTCCGAGAGTCTCCCTTGCTTGCCCAAGGTTGCTCAGCTCACAAGAGTCAGAGCTGAGAGCTGGGCCTGGTGGTTTGGAGCCCTGGGCCAGGCCTTCAGCCCCTGGACTGTTCCAGCTGACTCCGTGCCATCACCACGTGTGGAAGTCTGTCTCCCCTGCTCGAATGAGGGCTCCCTGAGGGCAGGCAGGCACTGTGGATGCTCCATGCACAGTTGGGGATGGAGGAATGCCTGAGTCCGGCAACAGTCAATTGTGCTCAGGCATCTCCGTGCCTGGAGCCATGAGCTCGGGACCTGCCTGTTCAGCTCCCCATGGTGGCTTCTAGGTGGCCTTCTGATCATGACAGGGAGAGTCCCTTTGGTCACAGCCCCCTTCCCCAGGGGGCCGTGCTGGGCAGGACAGCAGCGACCCCTCATCTGTGTGCAGCCTGGGCGGGATGCCAGCTCCTCTCCCACAGCCCCAGGCTCCATGTGTGGCCTCCAGTGTCTGCCCTCATCGAGCCTCTGTTTCTCCACCTGCCAGGGTGGATAACCTCTCAGACCCCCCGAGTCTCCCTTGGGCCTTCCCACCCCGGCTGCCCCTACTCACGCGAACGAGGCCAGAGGCACATCCTGAGAGCGTGATGTCAGCCTTGGTGGGCTTGGCGTCGGGGCTGCCGTACCGGAGCCGGCAGATGTGTGCCAGGCAGTGGCAGTAGGTGCCAAAAGACACAGAGGAGACCAGGGACACTGTGCAGACGGGCAGCGAGAGGCCCCGGTAGAAGCCCCACACCTAGCAGACAGGGTCAGGGTCAGGCCAGGGCCCTGCCAGGAGGAGGAACCGCCTGAGGGAGCCCACACTCCGCACTGCTCCACCATTCGCTTTAGGACATTGGGAAAGTCATTCATGGCCTCAGGGCCTCAGTTTCCTCTGTTGTAAGATGGAGGTCACGAGGGGGACCTGAAGAACCAGAGGACCAGGCCCAACCCAGGGCAGCTGCTTGGTGACAACTAACTTTTGTTTTTTTGGAGAGAGTGTTGCTCTTTCACCCAGGCTGGAGTGCAGTGGTGCAACCACTGCTTCCCGGGTTCAAGCAAATCTCCTGCCTCAGCCTCCCAAGCAGCTGTGGTTACAGGTGCCTGGCCCCCGCCAACTAATTTTTATATTTTCAGTAGAGACAGGGTTTCACCATGTTGGCAAGTCTGGTCTCGAACTGCTGACCACAGGTGATCCTCCCACCTCGGCCTCCCAAAGTGCTGGGATTACAGGTGTGAGCCACTGCGCCTGGCCTGACAATGAACTGTTAACAGCATGTTCTGCCACTGCTGCTTTCAAGAGCTAGCACCTGGCCTGCACCAAGCCCCAAGTCCATTTTAGAGAATGTCCCCAAGTCCTGCCTCTGGACCCTGAAGCCTCCACCCAACACTGCCTTCAAGGGGTGCCTGGCCTGGAGGAGACAGAAATGCAGTGATGGGTCCCTCCTCTGACCTTCAAAGGCCTGAATGCTACCTCTAGACCCTCTGCCAGAGGTGGGAACCTCCTTCTGAGGCCCGTCTAGCTGCTAGATACCCCGGCTCCAGTCCTCGGAGGAACCTGTGAGGTTGGCAGAACTATTCCCGTGAGGAAGGCGAGAGATCTGAGACCCGGAGGGGAGCTCGGCGTCAACTGCTGGGCAGTGGAGGCAGGCCCGGCATCCATCCCCTCCCTGCCTCCCTGCCATCCCCTGGCCCCAGACCTACGCGCTCTCGGTGATACGTATCCCGGATACAGTGCCAGATGCCTGTGTACTTTGGCTCCGTCTGGATCCTGACCTGCGGGAGAAGTGGGCTTCAGGCAGGGGCAGCTCCAGGCCTAGGGCAAGGTCAGCAGGTCCTGGGGAAGGGGAAGAACCACCCTCTTGATTGTCCCAGCCACGCTGGACTGTGGGCACAGCAGGGACAGGGAGCCTTGAATTGGACAAGAAACCTGAGGCTCAGGGGGGAGAAAGTGTGACTGACATAGTCCCAGGGGCTATGGGGGGCCATTGAAGGTGTTTGAGCAGGAGAGGGCTGGGTCTGTTTAGCATTCTAGAAAGTCATCTGGCCGTGGACGGGTGCAGGGGCCTTGGGATGGCCGTGGGGCTGGCTCCTGCCGCACCTTCACCGTGTCCAGGGGGTAGCCCACAGCAACACCGCAGACGCCTGGAAGGAAAGCAGAGGCCCACGGTAAGGAGAGTGGGGCTGGTGAGCAGTTCGAGCCCATTGCAGGGAAGAAGAAGCAGGGTGCACGCTGACTGGGCTCCCCTGAGAGCCGACCCACGTCCGGCCCTTCTGGTCTGCACCAGGTCTCATCAATCCTGAGGGGGCCCCTGTTTTACAGATGAGGAAACTGAGCCTCCAAGTGACTGCTGCCCTTTGCCAGCAAATTCCCCTTCCCTGAGTCCAGGCCCAGAATTGCCTCATCCTCGCTGCCTTGGGCCAGAGACACGCCCTGGCCTCCCCACGGGCGTCTTGTTCTGGGAGAACGTGGGAGCCGACCCTGGCTGGGCCATGTCTCTGAGCCAGGCAGACCTTGCCCGCGAGCCGTCAGTCCGTGGAGGGTTTGCCTGTGAGCCAGGTGGTCACTGCTTCGGCTGCGTGGGTGGAAGGACAGGGAGGCGCAGCCGGGGCAAAGGCCTGGAGCAGGGAAGCCCAAGCCCACCCGGGGCTTGCGAAGAGTCAGGACTGCCTGGAATCACAGGTGTCTGTGGAACAGAGAGGGCCGGGACTCCACACCTTTCAGAGAGGCCTCAGGTGGCAGGCCTCCACGTCCAAGCCCCAGCACTGCCACAGGGAAGTCAGAGGGAGAAACAGGCATGTCCCGGGGGAACCATTCTCTCCCCTGAGGGGCGGTGGCAAAGGTCAAAGGAAGACAATAGGCACATGGGGACTGTGACCAAGTGGCTTGGACAGAATGATCCTTTTTTTTTTTGAGCTGGAGTACAGTGTCGTGATCTCGGCTCACTGCAACCTCCGCCTCCCCGATTCAAGTAATTCTCCTGCCTCAGCCTCAGCCTCAGCCTCCCGAGTAGCTGGGACTACAGGCGCACACCACCACACCAGGCTAATTTTTGTATTTTTAGTAGAGACAGGGTTTCACTGTGTTAGCCAGGATGGTCTCGATCTCTTCACCTCATGATCCGCCCGCCTTGGCCTCCCAAAGTGCTGGAATTACAGGTGTGAGCCACCGCGCCCAGCCGAGAATAGCCCTTCTCCACCCTCCCATACACCTCACCAGACTCATTCTCATCCGTCAAAGCCCTGCCACAACACCGCCTCCTCTGTGGAGCCTGCTGGCCTCTGTACTCTGGCCTGCCTCTGTGCCTGGAACATGGCGAGCAGAGCCCTTGTCACATGGCCTGGCTGCTGTGGTGTGCCATCACCACCTCCAGAACAGGAGTTCTCCAAGGACATGGCCCAGGGCTGACACCCCATGACCCAGGGCCATGCATAGAGCAGGAGCCCTTCACACAGGCCTTCCCATGCCTCCAGAGGAAAGATGCCAGACTCAGGAGCCCTTTCCAGTTGTGTGACCTCTGGCAAGTTCAGGCGCTTCCCTGAGGAAAGCAGTGGCTGGCCCCAGGCTGTCGCCTAGCAGGGGCTCAAGCAGGGCTAACGAGGCCGGTGCAGTGGCTCACGCCTGTAATCCCAGCACTTTAGGAGGCTGAGGCGGGCAGATCACTTGAGGTCAGGAGTTCAAGATCAGACTGACCAACATAGTGAAGCCCTGCCTCTACTAAAAACACAAAAATTAGCCAGACGTGGTGGCACATACCTATAGTCTCAGCTACTCAGGAGGCTGAGGCAGGAGAATCACTTTAACCCAGGAGGAGGAGGTTGTAGTGAGCTGAGATCACACCACTACACTCCAGCCGGGGCAACAGAGTGAGGCTCCATCTCGGGAAAAAAAAAGAAAGCAGGGCCCTGCCTTCTCCCAGGCCCAGAGCTGGGCTGCTCTCCCAGCCCCCATGCTGTTCCCAGGAGTACTGACACCACCCATTCCTGTTTCACAAGACCAGCAAGGCCAGGGCTGCCCCCTCAAAACAGCCCCCACAGCCCTTGGGTGGAGCTGAGCCTGGGTCCCAGGGCCGGGCTGTCTCCCTGGATCAGTCTTCCACCAGGCCCCCTTCCCAGGGAGGGAGAACAGTTTCCCCAGCAGAGTTTGGCCTGAGAAGCAGGTTCTGGAGGCCCAGCCAGGCACACGCAGCCCGCAGGGCAGGTGGAGCTGGCTCGCCAGGCCTCTTGCCGTCCTCTGCCCGCCCCCTCCAGTCCCTGCTGCAGGCCCCAGACCCCACCCTCCCTACCCATCTCCCTGCCCTCTCTATCCTCTCCTGGGGTCCTTCTTCCCTCCCAGTGACTCAGGCATCCCTCCCCACGCCAAGGACTCCCAGCCTCCCTGACTCTGCCTCCTGAGCAGCCCCCATGCCTGGACCACAGCCCCCATCCCCAGCCTGCCCTCAGCCTCCTGTCTGAGCCTCCCAGGCCCTGCAGCACCCCTCACCCAGCCTCAGTCTCCCAGGAACCTGCTCTCTGCTCATGGTACCTATGGTCCACACCGGGTCCTGGCAGATCCTGGGGGCAGGGGAGCTCCTCAGAGCACCCCTGCCCCCGCTGCCCAGCACCTTCCTCGGCCTCAGCTCCTCCTGCTACCCTGGGAACAGCAGCGCCTGCAGGCACACCATCCTGTTACCTCCAATGGCTCCAGCGACAAAATCCATGAACAAAGTGTGGTGGGGAGGCCCTGGGTCTGCCTGCCTGAGAGGGCTCTGGTGCCACCGGGGTGGCCTCAATAGCTCCCAGCTGGCCCCTCTCCGACCTTAAATGCCTGCGGCGGGGGAGGGGACCGGAAGCAGAGCCTACTGAGGCCATGCGTCACACAGCTGGACTCCCTCTGCCTCTGCCCCAGGACCCTTGTCCCAGTGCCCTTGGGACCCAAGTGTTGGGCAAGTATAGGAGAGAGCATGGGAGGTGGCAGGCCCCAGGGAGCAGGGTAACTGCCCTGCTACATCCAAACACCTCCCAGGGAGGTCCAGAGATGGGGCTTTGACAGCTCCCGCCCTCCAGGTCCAAGCTCAGGCCTTCACTGTGTCCCCTGGACTTCCCTGACTCCCCTGGATTTGCTCAGGACCCCTGCCCGGGAAACCTGCAAAGCTCCTTCACTTACTCACTCAACAAAGACTTCCTTCCCTGAGGCTACACCCAGGCAAATGAGAGCCAGTGCCTGTCCTCAAGGTGCTCCAGGTGGCAGGGAGGGAGGGGGTGTGGGGGATGGGCCTGAACCCAGGAACAGCACCTACCATCTGCTCTCACCCTTCCCACTGCCCCAGCCCCCTGTTGGCTGCTCCGTGGAAATGTGTCTCCCCAGACCCAGAGGCCAAGGCCAGGGCTGCCTCCACCAGCCCCCACGCCCACAGAAACCAGGGACAGAGGCTGCGGATTCAGCCTCCGAACTGGCTGCCTGGGCCCTCCTGAACTGGAGGGCTCTCCACTAAGAGGCTACTTCCGTCCGCTGGGCTTTGTAAAACGGGGACCTCCTCACCCATACACCCCACCTTACAGATCACCAAGCTCTCCTGACTCTCAAGCTCTAGGCTCCTCCTCACCACCCCAGAAGGGAGACAGTGCATCATTAGTGCTCCCATTTCACAGATGGGGCCGATGAGGCCCAGAAAGGGAGCTCATCCAAGGCCACAAGGGCAGCAGGGCTAGATGTGATCCCCACAGGCTCTCGCACAGCCCACCCCCTGGGATATCCAGGGCCGGCCTGGGGCATGCCCCATGTGACCTGTGCTGTGGCCCTGTGAGATCCCCACAGGGGACACCAAGGCTCAGGGAGGCTGTGCAGGTGCCTTGGCCACACAGCTGCTGAGCAACAGAATCCAAGTGAGTGCCCTGAGGACTAGAACGACAGCAGGATAGGGGAGGGGCAGGTGTTGACACATGAGGCCCTGGCAGCCCGTCTGGGTGACCCTCAGGGCAGGTGGCAGGGCCAGGAGACTGCGCGTCTACCTGTTTTCCTGCTCTCAGATGGCCGGACCTGCAGACTGGCCTTGAGCAGGCTGAGAGCTGACGAAGAAACAGCCCCCGCTGCCAGCCCAGTTGTTTGTAGGCAAATGGGAGACACATTGCAAGCAGTGCCAGCTGCCACGGCAGAGGGCAAAGAGCAGGAAGTGGCCCATCCAAGGCCAGTCCTGATGATAGTCCTGGTCTTCAAGAGGACGGAGCTTAGCGTCTGGTTAGGAGTTGGCTATCTGTCTTTTACACCCAGCTCTGCCACTCACGGCTGAGACCGTGGGCCAGCTCCTTGACCACTCTATGCGTCACTTCTGCAACCACAAAATCAAGAGGGTAACTGCCTCATATCTGTGACCGCTCAGGGCAAGGTCTGGGCATGTCCCTGTGGGAATGGCCAACTAAATGCTAAGGCCGCATTAGCAGAAGCATGGAGTCTAGAAGGAAGGAGGTGAGCAGCCTGTTCTGGGCAGGGCAAATACAGCTGGGACTTGGGTTCAATTGCTGATGCTGCACTGGAAAAGCCAGTACTTTGGGTGCTGAGGGAGCTTGAAGCATGGTGTCTAATGGAAAGAACAGGGACATTCAGACCCATGTTTCCGGCAGAGCATCCGACACAGCAAGTGCCAGCCACCCACAGCACCTGAGCCGGGAGCCCAGGAGTCGCCCTGGACACCTCTCTCCACCCCGCATCCAGAGTCCTCAGTCCTGGGTGTCAGCCTCTTAAATTCACATTCAGTTCTCTTCACCACTGTTCGTCTGCACAGCCCCAGCCGTGTCATCACCCCAAGGACAGCAGCCCACCCCGCCCATGCCCCCCATTCACCCCCTCCCTGCTGAGTTTTAGGCACCGGGACACATCAGTAAACACAACAGAAAAGCCCCTCGCCTGGTGGACCTTATGTTCAGGGAGGAGGACAGACAGCCAACAGACAAACAGCCAAAATACAGAGGACGCCCAGTGGCGGCCAGTGCTAAGGAGAGAAACAATGGGAGCAGCGGGAGGCTTGCAGGGGGTGTCAGGGAGGCCCCAGAAGGTGACATCTGCGACAAGCATGTTCTCTCAGTCATCGCAGCCAGTTTTACCTGCCCTTTGTCTCCTGAACAAACATGCCCTGACTTGACCCTCTTCCCCCAGGCAGAAATAGAAAACATGACACCCCACCGTTTCAGCTGCTTTATGCAGGTCTAAACATTTCCCCGCCTCAGCTGTGGGCTTCGGGCAGGCAGGGTGGTGCTGGGTTTGTCTCCACACCCACTGCACCCAGCACAGGCGGGCACCCTGGGGAGGCCAGGTAAATAAGTATGTGAGAAAATGAGTCAGAGAACAGATGGAAGGATAGACAGATGGACAGAGGGATAGACGGATGGAGGGAGGAGGGCTGGACAGATGGATGATGAGTGGAGGGTTGGAGGGACAGAGCGATGGAGGCACGGACAGAAAGACAGATGGAAGGATGGACGGGCTGGCAGGGGCCCCACGAGAAAGGGGTGAGACAGCACTGAAGAACCTGGGACAGGCCACCAGTCAGTCCACACTCAGCACCCACACTGTGCTGGGCCCGAAAGAGGATGTCCCCCACCTGCCCCCATCACCCCACCCATTCTTTCCACCGAGCGCCCTCTCCTCCCTGAAGGTGTGCACCTGGAGGCACTGCCATCCCGGGTGTCCTCAGCTGCAGACAGCCAATGGTATTAAATGACTTTATTTACTCTTCTATTTTGTATTTTATTATTTTTTTTTAGATAAGAGTCTTGCTCTGTCGCCCAGCCTGGAGTACAGTGACACAATCTTGGCTCACTGCAACCTCTGTCTCCTGGGTTTGAGGAATTCTCCTGCCTCAGTCTCCTGAGTAGCCGGGATTACAGGCACATGCCACCAGGCCCAGCTAAATTTTTTTGTATTTTTAGTAGAGATGGGGTTTTACCATGTTGGCCAGGCTGGTCTCAAACTCCTGACCTCAAGTGATCCACCCACCTCGGCTTCCCAAAGTGCTGGGATCACAGGCATGAGCCACTGCACCCACAGCATTAGATGACTTTAAACAATCATTATTCTTGTTAGGTGCAATAATGGTACCAAAGTTCTGTAAGAAAATGGCTATATTTCTTAGAGATACAAACAGAAGTACATGGTGGTGAAATGGCATGATGTCTGAAATTTACTTTAACACCGTCTGGCAAAAAAGAAAGGAAGAAAGGAGAAAGATCATAAGTATGTGGCCTTTGTTGTAGCCCAAGATAAAAAGTAGCAGCCCGGTGTGGTAGCGCAGGCCTGTAGTGCCAGATACTCAGGAGTCTGAGCGGGGAGGCTGACTTGAGCCAGGGAGTTCCAGTGCTCTGCGCTGATTGTCTGATACACGACATTCAGCATCCACACAGCAACCTCCCAGGAGTGGGAGACCCCAGGTTGCTTAATAAGGGTGAGCTGGCCCAGGCTGGAAATGGAGGAGGTCAAAACTCCTGTGCCGATCGGTAGTGAGATGGTGCCCGTGAATAGCCACGGCACTCCAGCCTGGGCAACATCGTGCGTGAGCCCCGCATCTCAAAAAATTTTTAAAAGTAGTAAAAGGGCCAGGCATGGTGGCTCATGCCTGTAATCCCAGCACTTTGGGAGACTGAGGTGGGCAGATCACCTGAGGTCAGAAGTTTGAGGCCAGCCTGGCCAACTTGGTGAAACCCCGTCTCTACTAAATATACAAAAATTAGCCGTGCATGGTGGCATGTGCCTGTAATCCCAGGTACTCAGGAGGCTGAGGCAGGAGAATCACTTGAACCCAGGAGGCAGAGGTTGCAGTGAGCTGAGATCGCGCCATTGCACTCCAGCCTGGGTGAAGGAGTAAGACTCTGTCTCAAAAATAAAAATAAAAAAATTAGTAAAAGGACAGTAAACAGGAATGGAGCTGCTTGTACCCTGCCCAGCCTCCTTCGTGGCCACATGGAGGCTAAACTGTAGCCTTGGGCAGCAGGTGCTGGGGGGATCCTGCCTGGTCCAGGAGAGGAGCCCTCAGCCTAGTGTGGGACCCTAGGCGGGTGGCCTGATCTCTCTGGGTCTTGATTTCGGGAGGCGGAGCCCGGAGGAGTCCTTTGGAGCCAGCCGGCTACTACTCCTCGGACAGGCAGGGTGACTGCTAGGAGATCCAGGCTGCCTGCCTCCTCCACCAGCGCACGAGTCCTCGGGATGTGAGACCCAGGCTGCCCTTCCGGGAAGGCTGCGTTGTCCCCTAGGGGGCGGCAGACGTTTCCCCAGCAACCAAGCCCGGTGGGCGCCGCAGAGGGTTTCGGGAGGGAGCCTGCAGGCCCTGCTGGCTGGGCCACGCATTCTAAAATGCCTTTTTATTTTTATAACGAAAGGAATAACTACAAGTTATAATTATTTTTAATCCACACAGAAGCGATGGAGTCAGCCCAGAAAGTGAAAGCCCCAGCACACAGCCTGAGGATCTGCCTGTGGCGATCTTGGCCAGCACTAACCTTTCCTTTTCATTCCTTGTTTTCCTCCATTTTTTTTTTTTTTTTTTTTTTGGGACAGAGTCCAGCTCTGTTGCCAGGCTGGAGTGCAGTGGCACGATCTCAGCTCACTGCAACCTCCACCTCCCAGGTTCAAACAATTCTCCTACCTAAGCCTCCCAAATAGCTGGGATTACAGGCACTGGCCTTCATGCCTGGCTCATTTTTTTTTCCTTTTTTTTTTTTTGAGACGGAGTCTTGCTCTTGTCGCCCAGGGTGTAGTGCAGTGTCGAGATCTCAGCTCACTGTAACCTCTGCCTCCCAGGTTCAAGGGATTTCTCTGCCTCAGCCTCCCGA